CTAATATAAAAATAAAAATATGTGGTATGATTGCAAATGAGACAATCCTCCATCAGAGACTAAATCACCTAGAAGTTAGCAAGTTTGATACATTTTTGCTATAAATCCATAACATTCTCTGCAAGGCACAAACTGCAAATTATCCTTATCAAGCATGCCATCAAAGGTAATGTCGTTGTTTTAGATATGAACTGTTATGATGACGCGGGTCATACACTATCAACAAACAGCAACTGTGATAGAAAAGAAACAAACAATGAACTGCAAAAAAAAAACACAAAATGTTGAAATACCACCCACCGAAGCAAAACCCATGGTAATCTTCAAACTACATACCTCTCAGTGCTATAAGTTGCAATACATTGACTGGCTTCTCAATTCATGTTGCTTTTGTCCAAAGAAGAATATTAAAAGCTTTTGAACTTAATTGAAAATAGGCATACTTATGCGATATATACTTATCATAACTTCTATATTTTGGCAATTTTAAAGGAAACATTTACAGCATCTGCATATGAACATTCCTGCCCTTTATATCGGCATATGTTAAAAAGATATCATATAAACGTATCACCTTACGATCAGTTACGTATACTTTTTGTATGAGAGTTAACTCTGGGGTATTCTTCCTTGGCATTATCTGAAATGCACCGAATGTGAACATGATGTTGTATTAACTTGATCACAGACAGATCTTTTCATCTGGAACCATGCCAAAAAATAATGAAATTTAGATTCTGAAATCTGTTGTATACTTTGCAATATTTTCAAGAACAGTGCAAATTTTATAAATTGAAATCAATTATTAACACCCACTGGTCATGTTGGTATTGTTGTAATAGATACTTATAAACTTTCGAGACAAATCACAAATGTATTAGCAAATGTCGTCCATCTTGGTTAGTCACTATGTTAAATAATGTCAAGAGTGCACACGCAATGTCTGCTGTACTGATCATGATTGAATTTCATATGCTTAGACTTTAAGATCAAAGTTCTACGACAGGTATCACATACCTTATATTATCAATAATCGATGAAAATGAGACCAAGGTAAGATAACCCTGGCAGACGGAAAGATGGGTCAAGATGCACAATTCATTTCAGGTAGGTGGTAATGGTAGCCTTTTTCTCCATTCCTCTGCCCATATCGTAAACTTGGATATATCTGATAGCTCGTTTCGAAAGTGAGAAAAAATTTCACATAATTATGTTGTTTCATTTTCGGGGTATGAAGTGAGATTCGTTTTTTACGTAATCAACCATACCCCCAAAAAGCCCTTTGTGATGATGCCTCTCGAGGTAAAAAAAAATCACTTTTTCACACAATAAGTTCTTGGAAAATTTACTTCTTAGCATACATAACATATAGGTTTTACACCTTTATTCACTAGTGTGAAGCTAGCCGTCGATAACAGCCGGCGTTAATATTCATGGAGCCAGCCTGCAATAATATTCATGAGCCGTCAATAATAGTCATGAGATGACTTGCGTTCGATTAAGTGTTGTAAGAAACTATGATCGATTATAATGATTAAATAACGTTTTTGTTTATATTTGATATTGTTTCAAACAGGCAAGTCAATGGGTGTCTTCTTCGAGGTCCGCGTTTATCTAATCAATTATAAAAAGGAACTATTGGTCTTCTGCAAGGTCTGCGTCTTTGAACAACATTTAAAATGAAAAATGAAAAGGTTCATGCTTCCATAAACATAGAACCAAGAACCTATCTTTTCAAGATTCTGTGATTAGTGAAATAATGTAAACTGAAACAACAATAAATAAAAGGATGATTGAATATAGAAATTTAACGATTACTATCAATAAAGAAAATAGACGAAAGAGATGAAATATGCTTAATTATGAATCTTGAAAACGGGACATTCCACCGCACAAATTAAATAGAACAGTTCTTAAAGATATTTCTGACTTCTCGAAGTATTTAGATATTTAACAAATATAATTTTATCGTACACTGAAAGGAATTAAAGGGAATTAATTGTCATAAGGGAATTCCATAATCTGTTCATTGTTCCATATATAGTCCCATCTCAAAAGTCGTACATACCGTAAATGCGATCGTTTATCTTCCATTTTAAACAGACCAGACAAACAAAAAGTTTTGCAATTAAAGAAAAATAAAGAAAAAGAAGAAAAAAAAACTGAAAGTTACTTTATAATGACGTTTCATTATTCAAAACTACGTATACCAATTTGAGTCTTAACATAATCAGATTATTGTCATTCAGAAGAAGGCATTGCGTTTGAAATGTCCCATAGCACTTATGCCCTAGACCCGTACGGGTTTGTCAGCAAAATATTAAAAAGAGGAGGGGTACCCCGGTATATCCCGAAGTCGAAATAAACTATTGCCGGTCTGCAAAACTAAGAGATTCTCCATGTGGGGAATTATACTAGAGGTAGAGGTAGGCATTGCCTCTAAAATGGTCCATAGCACTTATGTCCTAGATCCTTATGAGTTTGTCAGAATAGGGTAGGGGGTACCCGGTATATATCACATAGTCCAAAACCAGTATTGCCGGATGGCCAAACTAAGAGATTCTCCACGTGGGCCATTTTACCAGAGGTAGAGGTAGGCATTGCCTCTAAAATGACCTATAGCACTTATGCCCTAGACCCTCAGGAGTTTGTCATCATAGGATGAGGGGGTACCCGGTATGTCACATATTCCAACTTTACTATTGACGGCTGGCCGAACTAAGAGATTCTCAACGTTGGCAATTATACTAGAGGTGAAGGTAAATTGCCTCTAAAATGGCCCATAGCACTTATGCCATAGACCCTAAGGAGTTTGTCAGCATAGGGTAGGGGTACATGGTATGTCACATAGTCCAAGACCACTATTGCCGGCTGGCCAAACTAAGAGATTCTCCACGTGGGCCATTATACCCGAGGTGGAGGTAGGCATTGCCTCTAAAATGACCCATATCCATTTGTTAGATAACTAATGGCAAATATTTTAATACTTCGAGAAGTCAGATATTATTAGTTACATAGTGTGCTAGTGACCTAATACGGTATATATGGGGTCAGTAAATTCCATATGGGGTGAGAGCGAAGCTCGAATCCCCATATGGAATTTTCTGACCCCATATATACCGTATTACGTCACTAGCACACTATGTAACAAATTTATCTTACCAACTATCTTAACGTGTCATATGTAGATTATAGTGACCTATCAAAATTAGCAGGTCTTCAATACAGTTAGCATTAAGAAACTATTTCCATTGATCATACAAAAACAGATGCCAACAATAACAACTTGTTAGCTTTAAATGTGTTTTATGAATTTATTTCAATCTTCATCAATTACTTCGTCTGTTGAAACCTTTAAGATTTTTCTCGGTACCGTTTTGTTTTTATAAAGGGACGTAACACCACTACTAACCGTGTATTGAAGTAAACCCTGCCTCCCTACTAACCTAATATGGAATATACACGGCCTCCACGCGGACGCTTTTAACCAATCATAGTCCTAGAAATGTATAGGAGGTAAGATAAAATTATTTATCAGAACCGTCTTTTTTATGGATTGTTTGAGTGACTGTCCCACTTTCAAGAAGCATTTACAGTTAAATTTCTATTTTTAATCATTTTGTTACATATAATTGTTTCAGTTTACATCATTTCACTTATCACATAATGTTAATGAATCATTGCTTGGTTCTATGTGTATGAAGGCACTAACCTTTTTATTTACTTTCATTTAAATGGTGTTAAAAGACGCGGACCTTGCAGAAGTCACATATTGATTTAAGATTTTATATTGCTATAAATAGCAGAACCATATTGGATATTTACGGCAAAAAGTTATTTTATTGTCATAATATATTAGTTACCCACACCACTTCATCGAACGCGGTCTCATCTCATGAATATTATTGACGGCTGGCCTCATGAATATTAACGCCGGCTAGCTTCACACTAGTCCTTTATTCTATGATCATCTGCTCTTCAAATCATTACAAATGGTTAAGCTCAGTCATTTGTTAAAATTTGAAACATGTCCAATATCACTGCACAGAGATTTTTTGCTAACTGACTATTTTTGAGCTCCTCAATTTGAGGCGCATTAGGGATATTGACCCATACATGTATATATACTTAACTGAGTAGTTGTGATGGGTCTTTGAAAACTCGTGTTACATTAATGTCTATCTTCAAGATTCAAAGCACGAAATTCTGAACAAAAAATCGGTCTTAATATGTTCCTTTCGAATTTCAGCCAATGATAAAGAACTCGATTGCACTTTACTATACTGTATACCCAATATATAAGTATCCTTACGAACAACGTTTTATTGCTGAGTTTTCCTAATGCTCCACGAAACCCCTTTCAAAATTATAAATAGCAATATTATCATCAATCAAAACCGGGCTTCAGAGTTACTGTGAAACTACCTATTCTAGGGTGGTGTGAATCAGATGTGTAAACTCAAAATTTAAAAGATTTGTTAGTTGATACCGCTGCTTGGGGACTATAAGTCCCCGAGGGTATCATCAGCTCAGTAGTCAGTGCTTCGGTGCTGACATGATTTATAACATACCTTTCTTAAAATGTGCATTCGTAAATTTAGAAATAATTCAGAAACTAAGGTTCCAACTCCCTCAGGAAAAGTTGACAAAGGATAGATTGGGCTAATATCGTTTTATGTTCCATTTGGTCATATATATCTTTCCATGTTTTTCGGTACTTATGCATCCTTGACTTTCAAATATTTGAAATTTCCCTCTTTTTTTTTAGTTCGTACATCTAGTCTCTCTCTTCATGCAATATAATACATTTATTGAAAACTGATATGTTTGTGACAAGAATTAACTATGAATTGTATAAATGAATTTCATAACATTACGTACACATGCAGTAAAGGTAATAAATAGTCGCTAATGTCATACAAGCTTTTTTAAAAGCTTATACTTCGGATATATATAGAAACATATCGATTGCCATGTATTTAACCAACCGCTTAGATAATTCATAGCGGAAGTGATTTATTTACATTCTTACTTAACAACTGAAAAACGAAACTATCATGGCTGAAAGATGCCATATATGTAAATATGATAGCAAAGTTGTTACTTCAATTTGTCTCAAATGTCATAAATCAGTCTGCTATTCATGTGGGGTTCGGCATTTTTATCAACAATATGACCATCGTCCAGGACTCAGAATTGACAGTTTGGATATCTGCTGCCAGCATTCTAAATATCGAGATATTTACTGCCAAACATGCGATGATGTGATGTGCATTAAGTGTTTAGCTAGGACTCACAAACATCATACACATTGTAATCTTGAGGAGGTTGTTATCAAACTTGCAGATTCAAAATTACCCTCGGTTAAAAAAGATCGCGAAGAATCAGAAAAAGCTGTTCAGAAACTGGACTCAAAAATAAAAAAGAGGCAAAAAATCTGGGACTCGTTTTTGCAGGATGCTGTATCGTTCGATGTATTATTGAAACAACAAACTAATCATATAGAAAGTTTGCTCTTCAGAAAGAAACATGAAGTAAGAGATATTTTTGAAGGCGTTCATAAGGATGTGGCAATTTTCTTGGAACAAATGAGAAACTTAAAAATCGCCAGAAAAATAGAACATGAAAAAGAAAAAACTTTATCAGAAGCTTTGCATGCTATATCCAAACATCGAAATGCCACAGAATTTGTTCGTCGGTGTCTGCAGTTACGAAATGATATACAAAACTGTGTAACAATTCCAAAGGCTGTTGGAGACGAGATTCCCACCCTTCAACTTAGATACGACAAACACCCTGTCAGTGAAATAGAAAAGGTTCTTCCCTGCATTTACTTTGGGTAAATATGTGACATTAAATATTTCTATATAATTCTAGATATTCAACAGTTAAATAGCAAATATTTATACACCTTAGGGACCGGTCATTATTTATCTCCAAAGGGGGGGGGGGGGGGGGGGGGGGGCAAAAAAGTAGGGGGTGTCATGAAAAAAATTGAATCTGATAAAGGGGGGGTCATTCTCTTTCAGGTTGATCTAGTAGGGGGGTCATGATTTTATTGGCCATAGATTCATTGATCGCCATATACAATGTACCATGACCATAGACTATACATGTATAGTCAGAGCTAACTTGTCTCCTAGTTTGACTCTTTCACAAATATCAAACTGTCACTATCAGTGATCTACCTAGAGCTAGTCACTTTACTCTTTGACTAATTTTATTGTCAAGTGACTAATGAATATGACCAAAAAATGTGCAAAATAAGTCACTTTTCTTATGTTTTTCTAAGCCATGATGTTTTAGAACTAAGAAACTAGGAATAGAGACTATAAAATTGGTTTCAAAATCCTGGCTTCACCACAGCAAAAGTAGACTTTGCTTTTTGAAGGCGACACCATTTTTATTTTTCAAGATGAACTTATATATTTTACAAACTGTTGTTTTATGTGTACAAAAAAATATTCTATAAAGACATTTTCAAAGCATTTTATTTTTATTTTTACTCCATATCTTAAATATAACTCATATAGATTTCCACTATAAATAAATATATGAATGATTTTTTTTACATGTACAGTGGATGGGCCAGAACTTATTTTATAGGAAAAATTTTGCTATCAATTTTATCGGTGTGTAGGAAATTTCTTTTGAAGGCACACAAAACATAAAAGACATGGTCTCAACAAACTGGTAGCTTGGTTAATTTCTGTCAATTTTAAGGATTTAATTAAAGAATACAAAAGCTAGAATTTTCTATTCGGACTAATTTCAGATAGTCACTTTTAAAAGTTTATATAAATTTTCAAAACCACTTGGATTTTCATATCAATTGTATTTTGACCTTATCGAATACGAGGTTGTTTGATAGTTTGGTGTATTGCTGTCAAATTTATGGATTTTATTAAAAAGTAAGAAAAAAAATCTAAAATTTTCAGTTTAGGCTAAATTCAGATCATTGCAGATAGTCACCTTTAAAAGTTTTTATAACTTTTTCAATTCAACTTGGATTTTCATAAAACCGTACACCTATCTCATTCATATATTGATCTTACAGAATGCCAGGTTGTTTGGGAGTTTAGTGTATTGCTGTCATTTTTATGGATTTAATAAATAGGTTAAAAAAAGGTTAAATTTTCAGTTTAGGTTAATATCAGATAGTCATCTTTAAAATTTTTTATAACATTTTCAAATCAACTTGGATTTTCATATAACTCTACAGCTATCTCATTAACATACTGATCTTACAGAATGCCAGGTTGTTTGGTACTTTGGTTTATTGCTGTCATTTTTATGGATTTAGTTAATAGGTAAAAGAAGCTACAATTTTCAGTTTAGGCTAAATTCAGATAGTCATCTTTAAAAATTGGTGTAACGTTTCCAAATCAACTTTGATTTTCATAAAACTCTACAGCCATCTCATTTATATATTGATCTTACAGAATGCCAGGTTGTTTGGTAGTTTGGTGTACATGTATTGCTGACAAATTTAGGGATTCAGTGGCGGATCCAGAAATTTTCATAAGAGGAGGCCCACTGACTGCCTAAGAGGGGGCCCGCTCCAGTCATGCTTCAGTGATTTCCTATATAAGCAACTAAATTTTTCCCACAAAAAAGGGGGCCCTGGCCCCCTGCCCTCCCCCCCCCCCCCCCTAAATCCGCCTTTGGGATTTAATTAATAGGTAAAAAAAGCTGCATCAAAGTCAAAAACATGTCTGCCTAAATTGCTTAAAAAAGACCATAATTTCTTTCTTGAAAAGTAGAATAGATAAAGGGACATTGTATAATTGAAATATAAGAATGCTCTATTATTAAGACATGTAAGACAATAATTGGTAATTCAGCATATGGTAATATGTTTACTAGTCAAGAGTTATTGTCCCTTAATTTAAATTATTCCCTTTATTTTAAATTAATATGGTATTTTGAAAATTGTATACAAATTGGATAGTTAGTTAATATTTTTTTGATTGTTAACAATAGTTTGAATAAATCTTTATGTCCTATGGTCACAAAAGGGGAAAAAAGCGGTGACCCTCAATTATTTAATAGAACAAAGAAGAGATACATTAAACTGTTTCAAATTTAAGATGACCTCAGATTTCAGAAAAATATAAACTAAGTACATTTAATAGTATGGTTAATATTTCTTCATATGTTTTATGACTTGCATGAATATTGTTAGCACTTCTTAAGCCTCTATGAAAGGCTGGCTGATATAGTATGCTATTACTTATGTCTTGAGATTTAATTGTGATATTGTTTATATCTGAGGCTGCACATATAAAATCAAATCTATACATGTATATTCATACTGGTTTTAAAATTAATAAAATGTATGTTTCTGATACACACATAAATATATATATATATGTGGAATTAACTAGCACATTTTGAATTTTGTATTAATACACCAAAGTCTATTCTTTGATTTCCAGACATAAACATGCAAATATTAAAATAGAAAAAGAACCTAAATCATTTTTGATTGTCATTAAGTTTTAGAGGGGCAGGACTCTTTTTATAGTTTTTTTTAGATGGGCAAGGACTTTTTTGCAGAATTTAAAAGGATGGGCATTAACTTTTTTAATGAAATAATATTAAGAATGCACCGGCCCATCCAACTGGTAAATATTGAACGGTCCCTTACATCAGTGTATTCTTCTATCAGATGTCGTCCTCAATTCATTCTCTGTGTATGTGTATTAAAATACCTTACTAGGAATATTAGCAACAAATAATAATTGAATCATTTGAAACCTTTCAATTATAATCAGAAAAGAGAGGGGGGGGGGGGGGGTCAAAAGTTTTTATGTAGTTGAAAGAGGGGGGGTTAAATTTTTTAACACATTTTGAAAAGGGGGTCAATCATTTTTTATCATTTCAAATTTACATTTTGCCGGCCCCCCCCCCTGGAGATAAATAATGACCGGTCCCTTACTATTAATTTAGTTTGCTTTGCGTAAATAGTACAAATCTTTAAGAAAAACATACATAACACCAAAAAAACAAGATGTGATGTGATTGCCCATGAGACAACTATCTACCAGTGACCAAATGACATAGATGTTAGCATCTATATGTCATTATGCGGTCTTCAACGATAAGCAAAACCTATACCGTACAGTAAGCCATGACAGGTTTCGACATGAAAAATGTAAAACTATTAAAACCAACGGCCTGATTCGATTTTATGTTTTATTATGAAGAAACGTTCTCTACTTGATTTTAGCACATTTTTGCTTATGGTTTTTTTCGATAAGTACTTCTAAACCGTGATATACTTAGACAGCCACTTTTCCGTTACTCAGAGGGCCCGGCCCCCTTTTTGTGAGAAATATTTGGTTGATGATATAGGGAATCACTAAGGCATGACTGGAGCGGGCCCCCTCTTATTAAAATTTCTGGATCCGCCACTGTTACTAGTGTTCATATTAGAGTACAACCATATTTGTATGACAAAATATAATTGATTGTTTAATCGATTGTCTTTATTTCCTCCAATAAATGGTTTAAGATTCACATGTACTTCCCAAACTATCCATCTTAAACTATTAGTTATGCTCCTTGGAGACAGTCGTCTTTGCTTTTAAAACGTCATGACTAAGGTAAAACATTTCAGGAAGAACCATTATATTACATGTATTATCTATGCATAATACGAACTTAACTTTTGAAACAGTTTTGCATAAAATAGTCGACAGTAACTACACGTATTTCCCGAAGTGTGCAATGTTAAACTTTTATTAATTCATCTTAAAGTTGCGACCATCTGTAAAACTGATACCAAGATCAAGGAATGTTTAGAGAACATCAAAATTATGTGCAAACCATTGTCATGATGGTGGCATACCGAGGTTATATATAGTGGACTCAAAGACAATAAACATTTGAAGATACAATGTAAAATTCTTCATAAATCTTAGTGCCCACTAACTCTTATTGATAGTTTAAAAATAGTAGACGGTTTATGAAAGTTATCATTGATCTTCATCAGACACTATTCTCTTGACAAAAACATTAATAAGCCAAATAAATAAATAATTTGTGAACAAGACAACTATTGTGGCCTTAATGAATCATTCAGAATCATAAACGGTCTGTTCTGTCTGAATAATCTGTCAAAATGTACATTCTGTATGTGCCTGTCCCAAGTCAGGAGCCTGTTATTCAGTGGTTGTCCTTTGTTTCTGTGTATCATTTTTGTTTTTCGTTCATTATTTTGTACATAAATTAGGCCGTTAGTTTTCTCGTTTGAATTGTTTTACATTTGTCATTTCGGGGCCTTTTATAGCTGACTATGCGGTAGGGATTTTGCGCATTGTTGAGGCCGTATGGTGACCTATAGTTGTTAATTTCTTGTGGAGAGTGTTTTCGTTGGCAATTATACCACATCTTCTTATTTTTTATACTTTTAAGTTTTAAATAAAGCCCATATCAAACATTTGTTGTTGTGCGGAATACAATCTCTGGAATTCTAAAGTAAATGTCTGAAAAAGCTGATACAACCCATTGGGAATGTTTCATAAATAATTTTCATCAGCAAAACTTGTGATCAAACTTTTTGAAGTCAAGTACATAAATCAATCGGGACATCAAAACAAAAATGTCAAAATAAGACACCAGATAAAACGAAAAAAAGGGTACGATGCTATACCTTAAACTAAGTGGTTACAAAATCTTAGTTCATACATTATATTTTGCAAGTGGATTTTACACAAAATGTTTAAAAATTATTAGTCATTTGCTCCAAATATTTTTAAAAACAAAAAATTAAGATGAAACTAAATAAATCCGATGGCAAGATTCTGCACATATATTTTGGTAAATTTTCAACTAATTGTTTTCTTCATCTTTTCAAAATCTAAGGTTACAAAATCCTTAAGCAAATTTGATCTCGTATGTTTGTGGCTTTTTTGGTTGCATAGCACCCTTGTGTCATTGGCTAGTCATGATTTGACCTATAGCGTACATTATGAAAGATATTATTCAAATGCATCTCGACTGCTAGACAACAGCAAAAAATGATTTATTTACTTAGGCGTATACTTTTGTGGAAAAAATAAAGAGGTAGTGATGATTTGTCTAAAATTTAGTTTAAACCAAGGCCATTTTAAAAGGTATAATTATATTAAATCTTTTTTAGAAATTCACATTCATTATCACACCTTCAAGCATGTAATTTGAGGTTCTAATAATATAGTAACATTTTTTTCAAATAACAAAAGTACCAAAGGCAATTTTGATAGATATTGGCATACTCACATTAGCATATACAATTATAAACTCTTACCAGCTTAAACTTTTGGAGGTTTTTTTTTACAAATAAAACATTTTTTGTGCACTTTTGAAAATAAAATTCTCCCAACCATAGATTTTTTTAAACGTCCTGGGGTCAAAAACATTTATACTACATACTAATAGTTGAAAAGACCATGCAGTTGTATACAAGAACAGATTCTGAAAATCATATTCTAGAACATATCTGGACAGTTCTACGTAAGACCTGATCCTGACATCTATCCTTGAACAGATTCTGAGAGTTCTGTCTTTACTAGCATAGAACAGTTTAGAACAGATTTTTAATATAGTAAGATGTTAGAACTGATCCCAACTATATATAAACATAATAAAAACTCATTACCAAAAAAATAATTAAAATATATTGCTGTGTGAGTAAAGCTTCATTTGAGGGCCCTGAACAGCTAATGTATTCTATAATTGCTTACTTCATTGACGTTAACTCAAAATCAAAGTAAGAGCAAAGAAGAAAAAGGACTATAATTCGAACAATGACACTAACTTTAACAGGCGCGTAGCTCCCTATACGAGGCGCGTAGCTCCCTATACGCCAACACACAGTTGCATGCACATCGGCATGCTGAAAAAAATGGCCAAAAATATATGAAGAAAATGTTTAAAGGAAACACATATATGTTGTCGCTTTTTTAATTGATGAAATATATTGGGATTCAAGCAAGAATACGACAAATTGTTCCAGGTGCTATGTATGTTCACTGTAAATCTCACTGCTTGAATTTGGCCCTAGTCCATAGTTGTAAAGATATATCAGTTAGAAATGTATTGTCAACCGTACAGAAAGTTGCCTTTTCGTTCGATTATTCATCGAAAAAACTTCAAGCATTTGACCAAGAGTTGGACTCCGATGCAACTACAAAAGAAAATATGGACAAGCGGACCAAATTGAGAACCCTTTGCGAAACACGATGGACGAGTCGAGCCGACGCGCTTTACACATTTAAAACATCGTTTCCGGTGGTGGTTTGTGCGTTGGAACGATTGCGAGATCATGGATATGACAAAGCCGGAGAGTACCTTGCATCTATTACACGATTTGAATTTGTTATAGCTCTTGTAGTTTCGGAGCACATTTTACAGAGTACGGTGTATCTGTCGAAATACCATGAAGATATCAAATGTGATCTGTTGGAGGCTACAAAAGAATGTAGAACAGTTATTGAGTTGTTACGAGCTGAACGAAGCGATGAATCTGTTTGGAATGAGATGTACCAATCGGCATTAGATTAATCCAAACCCTTCGATATCGTTGAAAATATGCCGAGGTGATATGGTCGACAGACTACCAGAGCCAATCACCCTACAAACACGCCAAAACAGTACTGGAAAGTTTCATTATATTTTGCGTTCATAGACCACATGATAATGGAACTGGAGTCGCGTTTGATATCATCAGAAAATCGCTTCTTTGCGCAGTATCTACTCCTCGTGTTGTAGGAAATGTAAGACATATAACCAACGAACAAATCGCAACATTGTTTGAGGCATACGAGACTGATCTGGCATGTAATTTAGACGAATTCAATCGGGAGGTCGCTCGATGGCGAACACGCTGGTGTATAACACCTCGCGATGAGATGACAACTTCACTGTGTGAGACACTCGATGCGGTAAGCCCAGTGCTGTATCCTACTGTAGATACTATTTTGTGTATTATTTTGACAATGCCGGTAACAAGTGCTACCGCGGAGAGATCGTTCAGTGTACTACATGTACGTCGTTTGAAAACATATACATGTACGACCAACCATGAATAACGATAGGTTATCATCGCTAGTATTAATGCATATTCATCGGGATTTCAGTCTGAATATTGACAAAGTAATGGAGAAGTTCGTTTCTGCTAAGACCCGAAGAGCAGATTTCGGACAATTTTGAGTAAATTCTGTCTCACAAAAATGTGTTGCTTATGTATTCAATTTACCATGATTTACCCTATTCAAAAGAATTCTGAATAGTTTTGCATATGTAGCACCTCTTTTATCCCTCCTATGACCGAAAACCGAAAAAAATATCATTGTCTGCATAAAATGCTCGGCGGTAGATCGGCGTGCACATCATTTTAGTCTAGCTACGCCCCTGTTTAATAATTCAACCTTCAAAATAAACTCCAAATTACCTACTGTAATGCAAGCTCGAAAACACATATAACCCAAATGTAAGCTCAAACTTTTTAAAGAGTTCCAATACAAAGTCCAAAAAAAAATTCAAACTATATCTCGAACTTGAACTTATAAACTTAATTAGATATCATTTCAGTTTATTTTTTATCAATGCAATTATCAATATTGATCAAACAAGTTTTTTCTCTGACTCTTTTTTCTTTTTTACTTTTAAAGGAAAAAAAACCATTACAATTAAAAACTTTAAAGCTGCCTTGAATAATTTCTTTCTTCAATTTTTAGCCAGAAAATCAAAATCTAAAAAATAATCAATATTAAAGAATAACAGTACTGTATTTGAAGATTTGCCACCGTCAATTTTAGAGCTAGTAAAATAAGGATGTAAACAACTGTTACAGTAGGTCATCGTATGGCCTTCGACAACGATAAACAACCATACCGTATAGTAAGCTATAGAAGGCCCTGCATGACAAAATAATTTTGAAATATAAAACATAAGACAGTCATAAATCCACTATATCAACATAAATTCATATACGACGGAGTTGACCTCTATAGAGACATTACATTGAAGCAAACTATTGTTTTGCATCTAACCAAGTAATGCTATCTTAGAAGAAGTTGTACATCAGATGATTTTTATAACCAACTAATTCAAAGGAAGCATATCAATCACACAACTGACATGGTCCTCGCTGAGAAAATGTACATGTAAAAAGAGGCGGAAGATACTAAGGGGACATTCAAAGCTCATAAATCGAAGAAAAGACAAACGATTCCACAAAACACTGCACAGGAAAACTAAATATTGCAATTGAGTATCATGAATCCCATCAATAACCTGGGTAAACTAGGGTGCTCCGGAAGGGTAAGCATATCCTGCTCCTCATGTAGCACCCGCCATGTAGGTACATGTACAAATTCGATGAGGCCTTAATCGCGGAAGAGAAGATGGTTTTGTGGAATGTCGTACTAACTGGGAGATATATATTTTATATGCATGCGCTGCTTGAACGTTGCTACATTTGTGTACATATAAATGGAAAGCTTAAAATTGGGAAGCTGAAATCATCATTCTGTCGTAAAGTTTTGTTCTTAACCGACCACCATGGTCAATTTCTAGATGTAATTCAAGATTTATATGATATTGAAATCAATTGGTAGTCATTGTCCCAGAAAATCATATTCCTATTGATAAATTAAAATTCAGGTTACTTATAAAAATAAGAAAATGCAGTGTAATTGCGAATGACACAACTATGCATAAAGAATCCAAATGACGTTGATGTAAACAACCATATGCCCATCATCGAGAGAACTGAATTTTTTTTTTTAAATACTTCTTTCAGTAACAGGATAAGCAGTTCAAAAACATCGTCCAACCCAAAGAAAAAAGAGAATAAAGTACGGGAAATAGACGATTTGGTGGCAGATTTGGCAAAGAAGGACAATCAACTGAGGTAATAATGCATGTAGAAATTTGTATAATATAGTATTTAAAAAATAGTGCATCTCTTTTCGTATTATTATGAATTTGTACCGAATATACGGATAAAAATAACTTTAAATATAGGCTAATAGTTAGAAATTATAGTCTGTATAGTAAGGTCTTTCCACCTTTCCGTGGAATTGTTTTTTGATTTTGTTATTATTCTAAGGTCTTTCCACTTTTCCGGGTAAAGACCTTTCGATTCTGTTTTGATTATTTTTTTTCTCTTGCGCAACTTTCTGAAATGTCGCATTTGTTTTGCAACATTTGGTGAATAATATCGACAGTTATTGAGCTTTCAGTTTTAACCAATTCGTTGCCATTTATAGGAGTTATTGCCCTTTTGATATTCACTTTTATTTTAAATTTAATAATAGCTTCATATATGATTAAGCTATCTTTTTTTCCATAAGGTAAAAAGACAAAATATTTAATGACTGTGTTAATTAGAAGTAACAATTTTTGCACTGATTTTATGAAAAAGTACATAGAAACCATATGTTTTGGAATGAGTATAAGAACATCCATTGTTCGACCTGTTAGTCAAATGCGTTTTGTTAATATATACTTTTTCACTTTTTTGGTCTTTTGGAAAATGTTGTTTGTGCTGTATTTAGACCCCTCTACCAAGGAATTTGTTTTGCATGCACACGTATAAAAATTGCGGTTTTTATCCAACGCAATCATAGGTTTGAACGTTGTTTTCAATTTAGACTTGTTTATATTTTTTCGTTTGGGCTTGTATTATATTTGCCTTCGGGTTTATATGATCCGTTCATCCTATTTCGACTCTTCAAAATTCAAGAGTCTATCCTAAATTGAGGTAAATTATATGGCCTTCCAAATACCGTTTCGATTCCTAACATCACTGAAGAGACATAAATTGTCGAAATCCGGATATGGTGTACAAATTTTTGCACCTCATGTTTGCGGTATACCATCTTTTCCGCAAGTTTATTGTTTTCTGTTTGGTATTAAATTAATAGTTAAGATCCATTTTGTTACATGTTTGTGATCCGTTTATTTGGCAATCGCTAATGGCAGTCAGCAGGGTTTAAGAACATCCGTTGTTCGACCTGCTAGTCAAATGCGTTTTGTTTAAATATACTTTTTCACTTTTTTGGTCTTTTGGAAAATGGTGTTTGTGCTGTATTTAGACCCCTCTACCAATATTTGTTTTGCATGCACACGTATAAATATTGCGGTTTTTATCCAATGCAATCATAGGTTTGAACGTTGTTTTCAATTAAGACTTATTTATATTTTTTCGTTTGGGCTTGTATTGTATTTGCCTTCGGGTTTAAATGATCCGTTCATCCTATTTCGACTCTTCAAAATTCAAGAGTCTATCCTAAATTGAGGTAAATTATATGGCCTTCCAAATACCGTTTCGATTCCTAACATCACTGAAGAGATATTAATTGTCGAAATCCGGATATGGTGTACAAATGTTTGCACCTCATGTTTGCGGTACCATCTTTTCCGCAAGTTTATTGTTTTCTGTTTGGTATTAAATTAATAGTTAAGATCCATTTTGTTACATCTTTGTGATCCGTTTATTTGGCAATCGCCAATGGCAGTCAGCAGGGTTTAAGAACATCCGTTGTTCGACCTGCTAGTCAAATGCGTTTTGTTTAAATATACTTTTTCACTTTTTTGGTCTTTTGGAAAATGTTGTTTGTGCTGTATTTAGACCCCTCTACCAAGAAATTTGTTTTGCATGCACACGTATAAAAATTGCGGTTTTTATCCAACGCAATCATAGGTTTGAACGTTGTTTTCAATTTAGACTTGTTTATATTTTTTCGTTTGGGCTTGTATTGTATTTGCCTTCGGGTTTATATGATCCGTTCATCCTATTTCGACTCTTCAAAATTCAAGAGTCTATCCTAAATTGAGGTAAATTATATGGCCTTCCAAATACCGTTTCGATTCCTAACATCACTGAAGAGACATAAATTGTCGAAATCCGGATATGGTGTACAAATTTTTGCACCTCATGTTTGCGGTATACCATCTTTTCCGCAAGTTTATTGTTTTCTGTGTGGTATTAAATTAATAGTTAAGATCCATTTTGTTACATGTAGTTAAGATCCATTTTGTTACATGTTTGTGATCCGTTTATTTGGCAATCGCCAATGGCAGTCAGCAGGGTTTAAGAACATCCGTTGTTCGACCTGCTAGTCAAATGCGTTTTGTTAAAATATACTTTTTCACTTTTTTGGTCTTTTGGGAGATGTTGTGTGTGCTGTATTTAGACCCCTCTACCAAGAAATTTGTTTTGCATGCACACGTATAAAAAATGCGGTTTTTATCCAACGCACTCATAGTTTTGAACGTTGTTTTCAATTTAGACTTGTTTATATTTTTTCGTTTTGGGTTTGTATTATATTTGCCCTCGGGTTTATATGATCCGTTCATCCTATTTCGACTCTTCAAAATTCAAGAGTCTATCCTAAATTGAGGTAATTATATGGCCTTCCAAATACCGTTTCGATTCCTAACATCACTGAAGAGACATAAATTGTCGAAATCTGGATATGGTGTACAAAGTTTTGCACCTCATGTTTGCGGTATACCATCTTTTCCGCAAGTTTATTGTTTTATGTTTGGTATTAAATTAATAGTTAAGATCCATTTTGTTACATCTTTGTGATCCGTTTATTTGGCAATCGCCAATGGCAGTCAGCAGGGTTTAACAACATCCGTTGTTCGACCTGCTAGTCAAATGCGTTTTGTTTAAATATACTTTTTCACTTTTTTGGTCTTTTGGAAAATGTTGTTTGTGCTGTATTTAGACCCCTCTACCAAGAAATTTGTTTTGCATGCACACGTATAAAAATTGCGGTTTTTATCTAACGCAATCATAGGTTTGAACGTTGTTTTCAATTTAGACTTGTTTATATTTTTTCGTTTGGGCTTGTATTATATTTGCCTTCGGGTTTATATGATCCGTTCATCCTATTTCGACTCTTCAAAATTCAAGAGTCTATCCTACATTGAGGTAAATTTTATGGCCTTCCAAATACCGTTTCGATTCCTAACATCACTGAAGAGACATTAATTGTCGAAATCCGGATATGGTGTACTAATTTTTGCACCTTTTGTTTGCGGTATACCATCTTTTCCGCAAGTTTATTGTTTTCTGTTTGGTATTAAATTAATAGTTAAGATCCATTTTGTTACATGTTTGTGATCCGTTTATTTGGCAATCGCCAATGGCAGTCAGCAGGGTTTAACAACATCCGTTGTCCGGCCTGCTAGTCAAATGCGTTTTGTTAATATATACTTTTTCACTTTTTTGGTCTTTTGGAAAATGTTGTTTGTGCTGTATTTAGACCCCTTTACCAAGAAATTTGTTTTGCATGCACACGTATAAAAATTGCGGTTTTTATCCAACGCAATTATAGGTTTGAACGTTGTTTTCAATTTAGACTTGTTTATATTTTTTCGTTTGGGCTTGTATTATATTTGCCTTCGGGTTTATATGATCCGTTCATCCTATTTCGACTCTTCAAAATTCAAGAGTCTATCCTAAATTGAGGTAAATTTTATGGCCTTCCAAATACCGTTTCGATTCCTAACATCACTGAAGAGACATTAATTGTCGAAATCCGGATATGGTGTACTAATTTTTGCACCTTTTGTTTGCGGAATACCATCTTTTCCGCAAGTTTATTGTTTTCTGTTTGGTATTAAATTAATAGTTAAGATCCATTTTGTTACATCTTTGTGATCGTTTATTTGGCAATCGCCAATGGCAGTCAGCAGGGTTTAAGAACATCCGTTGTTCGACCTGCTAGTCAAATGCGTTTTGTTAAAATATACTTTTTCACTTTTTTGGTCTTTTGGAAAATGTTGTTTGTGCTGTATTTAGACCCCTCTACCAAGAAATTTGTTTTGCATGCACACGTATAAAAATTGCGGTTTTTATCCAACGCAATCATAGGTTTGAACGTTGTTTTCAATTTAGACTTGTTTATATTTTTTCGTTTAGGCTTGTATTGTATTTGCCTTCGGGTTTATATGATCCGTTCATCCTATTTCGACTCTTCAAAATTCAAGAGTCTATCCTAAATTGAGGTAAATTATATGGCCTTCCAAATACCGTTTCGATTCCTAACATCACTGAAGAGACATAAATTGTCGAAATCCGGATATGGTGTACAAATTTTTGCACCTCATGTTTGCGGTATACCATCTTTTCCGCAAGTTTATTGTTTTCTGTTTGGTATTAAATTAATAGTTAAGATTCATTTTGTTACATCTTTGTGATCCGTTTATTTGGCAATCGCCAATGGCAGTCAGCAGGGTTTAAGAACATCCGTTGTTCGACCTGCTAGTCAAATTCGTTTTGTTTAAATATACTTTTTCACTTTTTTGGTCTTTTGGAAAATGTTGTTTGTGCTGTATTTAGACCCCTCTACCAATAAATTTGTTTTGCATGCACACGTATAAAAATTGCGGTTTTTATCCAACGCAATCATAGGTTTGAACGTTGTTTTCAATTTAGACTTGTTTATATTTTTTCGTTTGGGCTTGTATTGTATTTGCCTTCGGGTTTATATGATCCGTTCATCCTATTTCGACTCTTCAAAATTCAAGAGTCTATCCTAAATTGAGGTAAATTTTATGGCCTTCCAAATACCGTTTCGATTCCTAACATTACTGAAGAGACATTAATTGTTGAAATCTTGAAATGGTGTACTAATTTTTGCACCTTTTGTTTGCGGTATACCATCTTTTCCGCAAGTTTATTGTTTTCTGTTTGGTATTAAATTAATATTTAAGATCCATTTTGTTACATGTTTGTGATCCGTTTATTTGGCAATCGCCAATGGCAGTCAGCAGGGTTTAAGAACATCCGTTGTTCGACCTGCTAGTCAAATGCGTTTTGTTTAAATATACTTTTTCACTTTTTTGGTCTTTTGGAAAATGTTGTTTGTGCTGTATTTAGACCCCTCTACCAAG